TTCTGCAATTTGGCACCCCCCCCAGCAGAGGGCGCTCTAGGCGACCTCCTAGTTCTCTACCTGACTTCATGACTTCAGGTCAGTTGTGATCATCAGGCACTTCCGTCGTGAAAAACAATAAAAACATCTTTAGCGTCTCTTAGGACAGAACACAGAACTTGGAGGTGTGCCGGAGGCCCCTGTAGGCCCGGAGCCCCTCCCTCTTAGGGTCCCTGACCATCCCTCGGACCACCGGCAGCGAGTCGCAGCCCCTCCTCTTATGGGCCCGGTGCAGCAGGATCCGGTAGACCCCGGTGACGGGGCTGCGGCTGTCCGTCAGCTGATTGTTGCGGAGGTGTTCCGCCGTGAAGCCCAGCTCCTCCAGCGAGCCGCGGACCTCCTCCTCCACCTGCTCCTCCAGGCCCCCCCGCTCCGAGTCCAGCAGGCTCTGCAGAGGACTGGAGGGCTCCGCGGGGACCAGGGACCAGGGGAACTCCACGGGGAGGAGCCAGTCGCAGCCCAGCATCTGGTCCACGGCGCAGCGCTCCGAGGGGACGGGCTTCAGGATGCCCCTGATCAGCCTCTGGCAGGGGCCCGGCACCCAGGGGGGCACGGCGTAGCTGCCCTCCAGGACGCAGCGCCGCAGCTTGCCCATGGTGTCGGCCCGGAACGGCATGGTGCCGGTCACCATGAAGAACAGCAGGACGCCCATGGCCCACACGTCCACCGGGGGGCCCAGGTAGCTCTCGTCCCTGAACAGCTCCGGGGCGGCGTAGGGGGGCGACCCGCAGAACGTGTCCAGGGCGCAGCCGCGGCCCGACACCCGGGTGCTGAAGCCCAGGTCGGCCACCTTCACACAGCCGCTGCTGCTGAACAGAACGTTCTCTGCCTTCAGGTCCCGGTGGATGATGTTCATGTGGTGCTGCAGAGACAAGAACCGGGTGTCAGATCCGTCAGGGACCTCTGGACCTCTGGACCTGCAGTTCTTACCCCCATAGGAGGACTCAGGACCAGGGCTAGGTAAAAAATAGATTTTATCCATCTTGGATCGATTTCTTTTAAATTTGGGGAAATGGATTCACAGGACATGAGATGGATTCTTCACCAGGGTGTGTTGTGTGTGTCTGAGGTGTGCTTCTAGATTTTGTCACTCCTGGCTTGCCGTACATTTACATCTGGCTGATGTTCAGCGCTAACATTAGCTTTTAAAGGGATCCATGATTAGTTG